TTTCCACCAGCTTTAAGTAACTATGTTGCCCACAATTGGTGTGGGATAACAGAGCAGTCAGTTAAATTTATTTCATTGATTTTTTCATTGTTAAGCGTTGGAAAAAAATACCTTTGCAAATTCTCCTAAAAAGACATAAAGAATAGATAAAATAGAAAATGTGAACTTATGAAAAACCCAGCATTAGTGGTAGCTTTAAAGATAGTGCATATTCGAATAAATTAAGAATTTTCACAAAGAAGTGAATTAATCAGAGTTTTCTCCAATTATGCCTTTTTGAACCTCTGAAATTTCATTTACTATAGAAGATATGTAACTTTACTAATATGTAGAAGAAATAATTAGTGAAATAATGGTTTAATAATTATTTTAGTAGTCTATCAGTCTGACATAATCAGAAGAGAGAAATCACTTTATAATTGGAACAGGAAAAGTTTTCATACAGTCAATTCTTATTGTAAGTAGTTATGTTCTATAAACAAGGAATTAACAAATATTGAACCATCATTCAAAATTCAGGATTAGGTTCCTGTGAGCCTCTGGTCACATTTTCATCAACTGATCAATACATAAGCTTGCTTTGTGTTTCTGTTGAAGGATAACTTATTTAATATACATTGTTGATTCATTAACATTGCTCTCTCAGCCAACATTATGTTTCATGCCTGAACAAAGCTTTCTAACAGGCACTTTCTCCATAAGGCACATCACTGCCTTCTTTTTTTAAATTTATTTTTCTTTATTGACATATGTGCCCTTATTGCCCCATTGCCCCCTTTCCCCCCCCCACCCGCACATCCCCACTTATTCATTCACCCCTCTGTTGTCTGTGTCCATTGGTTAAGCTTACATGTATGCATACAAGTCCTTTGGTTTATCTCTCCCCCTTATCCCCACCCTCCTTTACCTTCCCTCTGAGGTTTGATGGTCTGATCGATGCTTCTCTGTCTTTGGATCTGTTTTTGTTCATCAGTTTATGTTGTTCATTAAATTCCATAAATTTATCTTTCTCTGACTGGCTTATTTCGCTTAGCATAATGCTCTCCTGTTCCATCCATGCTGTTGCAAATGGTAAAAATTCCTCCTTTTTTACTGCAGCATAGTATTCCATTGTGTAGATGTAACACAGTTTTTTAATCCACTCATCTGCTGATGGGCACTTAGGCTGTTTCCAAATCTTAACTATGGTGAATTGTGCTGCTATGAACATAGGGATGCATATATCCTTCCTGATTGGTGTTTCTAGTTTCTTGGGATATATTTCTAGAAGTGGGATCACTGAGTCAAATTGGAGATCCATTTTTAGTTTTTTGAGGAAACTCCATACTCTTCTCCACAGTGGCTGCACCAGTCTGCATTCCCAGAAGCAGTGCATGAGGGTTCCTTTTTCTCTGCATCCTTGCCAGCACTTGTTGTTTGTTGACTTGTTGATGATGCCATTCTGACAGGTGTGAGAGGGTACTTCATGGCCTTCTTTCACCTAGGAACACTAGACAGCACTTCAAAACTATGTTTAAGGGCTATTTTAAGCAGTGAAATCACTAAAAGCACAAAAACTGGAAATGGAGCGCTAAATTGATTGTGAAAAGAACACTTTTCTATAGGATAAGAGGTGCAACAAGAAGGCAGGGTGTTGCCTTGTTCTCATGCAAGTTAGGAGTGTTAAAAAAACAAAATTCAACCAATTAAGTTTGAAGAGCTAATTGGCTTTAGTGATTCTCAAATCAGGCAGCATCCCATCTCCAACAAGTTGTACCAATGAAAAGTTCTTTATAGGAAGAAGGGTGGGGAGGGGGGGCAAAGAAGCTACTTACAAAAAAATAAAGATTATTTTTAGACCAAGACATCTTGTTTGAAATGGGGCTGAAAGGGAGGGAATAGCAAGAGTTTTTAGCTTGCAAACTTGCCCCTTCTTGGGAGGAAGGAGGAGAAGTATGGAGAGGGCCCAGGTAACTGATTACTTTACTGATATTTCATCAGAAAATTCCAGACTGATTAAGATTTCAACCATTTCTGGGAGAGGTTGAAAGAACAATTTGGTCAGGTATTAAATCTAGGTTTTGGTATCATGGTATCAAACTGACACAGAATTTCTTGATGAGTGGAAACCCCACACATCTGGTATCAGATGTGAAGTATGTTGTAGTAAAGTGTTGAGTGTAGAGGAGACACACAGGAGAGTTTTTCCTTATATTCAGGGGAAGCTACAGGAGCTGAGCACTGGAAAACCCCAGCAAGAATTTACAACCAAAACCCTTTCCTCTTCCAATGTGTCTCCAGCGTCCTCTAGTGACAAGACATTGTGTCTGCTGTCAAAGGAAAAATATTTAAAAGGCTCAGATCCATTTTTACAGAGCAGGCAAAAATAATGGTTTTGAAGCCAGGAGAGGACAAATTAATAACCAGTATACAGTAGTTAGGGGGAAAATAGAATATTGGGGACTAGCTCATAGTTATAAGAAATATTGCCCTGCCGGCATAGCTCAGTGGTTGAGCATTGACCTATAAACCAGGAGGTCACGGTTCAATTCCCCAATAGGGCACATTCTCAGGTTGCAGGCTCGGTCCCCAGTAGGGGGTGTGCAGGAGGTAGCCAATCAATGATTCTCTCTCATCATTGATGTTTCTATCTCTTTCTCTCCCTTCCTTCCTCTCTGAAATCAATAAAACTATATTTTAAAAAATGAAATATTAATCATGATCTGTTAACCATGATCGTTTTGTTCTGATTAAAGAAAGTACTTTCTAACCTGGTTGGGAATTTTATGCCCCGGGACATGGGAGTCAAACTTGGACCTGGCAGTCAACTTTAGAATGTGGTCCATTCTCATCCCAGAACTGCCTATTATCATGGAAAGATTAACAACTTTGTTGCTCAAATGATGGAGTCCAGGAGGCACTGGCCCCCAGCCCACATTGCCTGTAATCTGTAACCAATTACCCATTTTTATTCCTTTTGCTTACTTCCTTATGTACTCTTTGTCCTATCCATCCAGCTGGCTTATGGGAGAAGGGTGCAGAGTAGGTTTTCCTGAATGACCTGCTGCTCTCCCATACTGCCTGCATTAGGCAATACTGGAATAATCGCTCATATATGACTCAATCCTATCTCTGCTTAATTGGCACAAGTGGTGACAGGCAGCCCGGACCCATTAATTGTCCCGTTTCACTATGCAATGTTCTTTTAAAAAATGATTGTACACAAATATGAAAAACACACAAAAAAATTTGCAGTTAATTGCCAAAACCGGTTTGGCTCAGTGGAGAGAGCATCGGCCTGCGGACTGAAAGGTCCCAGGTTCGATTCTGGTCAGGGGCATGTACCTTGGTTGCGGGCACATCCCCAGTAGGGCGTGTGCAAGAGGCAGCTGATCGATGTTTCTCTATCATGGATGTTTCTAACTCTCTATCCCTCTCTCTTCCTCTCTGTAAAAAATCAATAAAATATATTTTAAAAAATTTTGCAGTTAACCATTTTCCATTTTGGGTTAATTTTTAATAGTCTTTGCCCATGTCTTCTTATAATTGTTTCTTTAAGAAATTGGGCTGATCATAATTTAACCACTTTCTTATTATATTGTTGAATATATAGGTTGTTTTAAATTTTTAACTATTATAAACAATGCTGAGCCAAACCAGTTAGGGCACCACCACTTTTTATCTACTCATCTATTGGTGGGCACTTGGGTTGCTTCCCTATTGTAAATAATGCTGCATTGAACATTTGGCTGCATATGTTCTTCTGAATTAGTAGTTTGGGTTCTTTGGATATATATACCCAGAAGTGGAATCCCTGGGTCATAAGGCAGTTTCATTTTTTATTTTTTTAGGAACCTCCCTACTATTTTCCAGAGTGGCTGTACCAATCTGCATTTCCATCAACAGTGCATAAGGGTTCCTGTTTCTTCACATACTCACCAACACCTGTTAGTGTTGATGATAGCCATTCTGATAGTTGTGGTTTTAATTTGCATTTCTCTGGTGATTAGTGATGTTGAGCATATTTTTCATAAGTATGTTGGTCATCTTTATATCCTCTTTGGATAAGTGTCTACACTGACAATGTGACCCAACCTTTTACACAAACTTCAGAAAAGATGCACACAAAACAGGAGACTAAAGAAATGGTTTTAACATCATCCATCTTCTGGCTTTACTGACTGCAACCATGGTAGACTAGTCTATTTCAGTTTCCCTCTTTTAGAGAAATACTAGTAAAAGTTATGGCTTCTCCCATTCCTAAAAAAACACATTATAATTGTATATCAGGCGTGGAGCAGTTATGGGGCAGTGTGTGTGTGTGTGTGTGTGTGTGTGTTTGTGTAGTGTAGGGACGCTGTAGTCAGGGTGTTGGGTATGGGTCCTACCTAGGTTGGCACTGAGGAATGGAGATCATCTCTACCAGCAGCAGGTGCTCTGTTATCAGTATTGTCACCTAACAAGTCATAATTGGGGTTTGACATGGAGGAGACTGCACCAGTTATCCCAAATCTTTTCCGTCAAGATTTCTACAGCAGGTCTGAGACCAATACCTCGGCTCTGATCACTGCCATTCCCTGAGCAGCAGTCACTTGGGAACGCAAGACCTGAAACTCGCAAATCTCGGAGCACCTAGAAAACTGAGGGGCCTGCGCATGCGCAGAGGTGCCGTCTCGCCCTGCCTTTCGTGGGTGAATGGACTGTTCCATTCCTGACAGGTGATGACTGTAGTGAATTTGGGAGCCTGGGCTTGGAGGTTCAGGCCGTAATTAGTAGTTACTGCATTTTTCTGCATTATTTATCGCTTATTATTATATGTTTCTATGCTGACGCCTGCAACAGGCTTCTGAAAAGAGTTTGGGACGGCTCCACCGTTCATCCTCCCCCTCTCAACTGGGAGCGGTAGGGCTGCCCGACGCGACGGCCAGGTACGGAAGCCCAGAAGGCCCCGCCCACTTCCAGGGCCACGCCCCTCCCCGCCGCGCCCCGCCCCCCGCCTCTCGCCGATCCTCCTCTACCCCGCGGAGCCTGGACTGCTCCTCCTTCTCTCCGCCCCCCCGGCCGCCGGCGCGGGGACGTCAGCGCTGCCAACGTGGAGACGGCGGCGGCGGGGCACAGGAGGCGGAAGTGGCGCCTGGGACTGCGCGCCTCCCTCGGGCTGCGCCGGCCGCCTCGACCATGGACGTGTCCTCGGATCAGGTTCGTGCGGGAGGCGGGAGGCGGGAGGCGGGAGGCGGCGCTGCGACCCGGGTTCTCCGCCTCCGGGGCGACTGTTTCCTCGCCGCGAGCGCTGCCATTGTGACTGGAGAGGGGGCCGGGGGTTAACGGGCCCGTCCTGAGGAGGCCTGGCCGAGAGGGGTCTGGCTACGTCACGGGGCCGGAGCCTCGCGGGTCCCCGTGGGCCGAGGGCGGCCGGGCCGCGAGCGGCGCACGAGCCCCGTGCGGGGCCGACCTTGCGGCCTCCTGCGCGCGGCTGCGTCCATTGGGGATGACCGAGCGCGCCCCAGAAGCGCCTGGAAAGAAGCCCTTCCAGTTGTCTGGGAGCCAGCTGCAAACCTGTAGGTTTTCTGTGGTTTCCAAGTTAGGAAGCAAGAGCATGAAAGCAGTGGCGTTCCCAGACGTCTGTGGTTAAAAACCCAGGTTTCCGTCCCGGAGTCCGAGCCTTAAGGGGGCGGGGCCGGGACCTGCGTGTTTCACAGGTTCCCCACGTGATTTTGATGCTGTAGTTTATGGGCGCAAATGAAGACCCCGGAGGTCAAGGAAGGGGTAAGTCTTGCGGGTAGGTTGTGAGTTTCTTTTTGAGGATTTGCTGCTGCTGCTCCACACATTTCTAGCTCCCGGGCGGGGAGACCCTCGGGTCAATCCGAGATCTCCTGGGGGCAGCGCTGTCCTCTGGTTTCCCCTTGAGGGGAACAGTAGCGTGATGTGCCTGGCTGACCGCCCTGGCATGTGAAATGGATTCTGATTGTCCCAGGTTGAGAGTTTGTAAATGATCACCGGTGCGTGGATCTCTTCATGGATACACCTGCCTTCAGAACCTGATGACACTGTGCCCTGCCTTAAGGTCTTTCTTCCTGTTCAGACTGGGGGGGGGGGGGGGGGGGGGAGAGGGTAGACTGCATGTCCAGACCCAATTTCTCATACATGTAGACTTCAGGAGCAAATCCAGTGCTTTAGAGCTGCTTTCTTTTCATTTTGAACTGGCAGAAGTAACATATGTTGTCACTTGTCCGTGCCCCAGCTGCTGCAGATTTGTTAACTTGTCTCTGGAGGGTTGAAGGGAGTATTGTATAAATTCACCCCGATGTCTTCCGTGTGCCCACAGTGGTATAACCCACACCTAGGCTGTTTCTTGTACATTTTGGTGTGTGCGATCAAGAAAATAAAAAGTAATGTTTTTCTTCCACTGCCTTTCTGGCGAATGTTAGTTACTGTTTTTCCTGGCTAGGGATAAAGTCTTTCCAGGCTTTTGATGAGCGCAGTTATCCACCTTGAGGGTACTTTGAGTTGTAGTCTAGATCAGTGGTTCTCAACCGGGGAAGTTTTGTTTCCCAGGGGACATTCGGCAATGTCTGGGGACATTTTTTTTTATTATGGTAACGAGGGGGTAGAGAGGAGTTGCTAGCACTGTGTGGGTGGTGGCTAGGGCAGTTGCTAAACATCCTACATTACACAGGACAACCCTAAACCAGAGAATTATCTGCTCAAAATGTCAGTGGTGCTGAGGTTGAGGGCACCCTGGTCCAGATCATGTGTGTAACACCAGTAGCTGAATACAAAATAATGCTCACAATGTCCCTTTAGTATCTTCTTTCCAATTTCATGAGAGGATGGGGTGGGCTTTTGCAATATCAGTTAAAAACCTAAAGAACTAGTGTGATCTTTCCTCCAAGAAAAGTTCTTTGTAGGCAAATCTGCAAACCAGAGTGGGTTGGAATCCTGCTTTAATTATTAGTTTTCTGACATTTGATTGGTAGATTAGAGTGGTTGCTCTCTAAATGTTAATTGATGATAAACTATCTTAAATTCTCCAAATGATCTGAAGAGGTACTGAAACTCCAAAGTTCTTAAGGCAAAAATCGCAGTGATCTTTTAGGAATTCACAATGTGTGGGTTGGAAGTTTCTGCCTTAGGCCAGTGTGGAAATTTTAAATGTAAGGTTTTCACAACTAATATTGTGTTTTATTTTTACATTTTATAAAGCAGTAGAAGACTTTACATAAAATGAACAATTTCTCTTGGTGCTGAGCGGGCAGAAAAGAATAAATATAATATTAATAGCAGGATTTTGTGTTCTGAAAAACAGTTTACATTTAAAACCTTGAATTGTGCCCATTCCTGTTTCTTTGAGGAATAGACTTCTCCGAGTTAAATTCTACTTTATAAAGTTGAGAACTATTTGAGCAGTTCTGAATGATCTCATTTAAACGAATCCTTGCATAATTTATACTGCTTACAGACTCCACAATGTTATTTGATACCCATCCTCTAAAATACCGAGTAATCTCTCACTTTAAAATGTAGTAGGCTATCATTTAGTGGAAGCACTCAGTGCATTTCCTTGTCCAAATATAATTGTGTTCTTGCTTTTTTGGTTTTGTTTAGATGATATGTAGATGTGCAGACCTGTGATGACATATTCTTGTCTTTTTTCCCCCCACAATAGTGCAGTTTTCTTCTTGTATCTGAAATTAATGATGTCTCAAGAAACCAGACAGGTTAATTGAAGGGGCCAGGTATTCAAACTATCAATAGAAGAGCAGGAATGGAAGAGCAGCCCCCCAATACTGTATGTCTAATGGATAAGAAAGAGGCCCTATAGCATAATCTCACAATGCTTACTTACGTTAATATTCAAGTGTTAAAATGCCACAGGAAGTAATTATTCTGCTCCTGAAGGTCTTAATAAGTTATTCAACACACCAACATATAGTACTTTTTAGTAAAAACCTGCTACTTTAAGTTAGTAGAACCACCCAGACCTTTTTCTGTTGTTTGGAAAATCCCATTCTTCCTGGGTATTATGTTTAGACAAGGTGTATTGCTGTTTGTTTTGCATTTACTTTAATTCCAACCTTGAGTAAACTTAGAGCAGGCTCTTCCAAACTAGCGCTGCTGACATTTTGGGCTGGATAATTCTCTGTGGTGGGAGGCTGTTGAGTGCATTGTAGAATGTCTAGCTGCATGCCTGGCCTCTGCCCCCTGGATGCCATAGCAAACCTCCCCCTCCCCACGTGTGACCACCAAAAGCCTGTCCAGATGGAGCAGTTGTGTTCTCGGGTCGGAGGAATTGCCTCAGGCTGAGAAGCACTGACTGAAGAACCTAGAGCTGCACTGTCCGGGATGGCTGCATAGCCAGTGGTCACATTTGTCTTTAAATATTTAAGTTTAGGTTAATTAAAATTAAATAAAATCAGTTCTCTTCTCAGTCACACTAGCCACATTTCAAGTGCTCAACAGTCACAGTGTGTGTGTGTGTGTTTTGTTTTGTTTTTGTTTTTTGCTACAATGTGGCTACTGAACAGTGCAGATATAGAACTTTTCATCACCATAGAAAGTTCTGTGGGACAATGTTGCAAAGTGAAGCCAATTTATCTGTTGTATATCTAATTCTTTTCTCTAAAAGAGGGGACTTTGATCCTATTTCTGACCTAACTAATTACAATCCAACCCATTTTTATTTCTTGTACTCATCCTGAGATCTGATTTTGTACCCCCCCCCCTTTAGATCTGATTATGGGAAATTATTTATCACCTTACTGTTTATAAGTTTAAAAGGAGTAGTAGGAGCATGAGTAGGAGCATGAGGTGAAAAGGATCATTATTGAAAAGGACTACCAGAATTTCTGTCCCTGCTTTTTACTTTAAAGCTCACAAAGAGAACCCCTAATAGCCAAACTTGACCTATTTCTGTGGTATGCCTTTTTAGATTCTACTCTTACTTAGAACGGGAGGCTTCTGTGAGGAGATGATAGCCTGTAAATTTAGTGTTGGTTTAAGCTGATTCCTGTATCATCATAACATGAGGGTTTTGCATACAGGTGTATGGTGGTTAAGGTGGTAAATGATTACCAAATGCTTGGTAGGTACAAAGTTCTGATCCTAAAAATTTATGGCCTTAAGCATCTTTTTAAAAAGGATAATCTTTATTGTTGAAAGTATTATATATATCTCCTTTCTTCCCCCATTAATCCCCTCCAGCCCGCTCCTGACCCCAGGACTTAACCACTCCGTTGTCTGTGTCCATGGGCCGGGCATATATGCATACAAGGTCCTTGGTTGATTACCTCCCACCCACCTTCCCACCGCCTTCTCTCCAAGATTCCACACTCGGGTCCATGCTTCCATTTCAATATATTTTTATTGATTTCAGAGAGGAAGGGAGAGGAGAGAGAGACAGAGAGAGAAGCATCAATCATGAGAGAGAATTATTATCAGCTGTCTTCTGCCCACCCCTACTAGGTTTTTATGCCCTTGACTGGAATTGAATCTGGGACCCTTCAGTCTGGAGGGTCCACACTGAGCCAAACTGGCTAAGGTTCAGTGGTTCTTGATTTAAACAACTGGATATAGAGTTCAAAACCACAGTTACAGGTTTTTCAAGAATTTCCTAGAAAAGGCCAGTAAATTTAGCGAGACCCTCAAGGATATGAAAAAGGACTAACGGAAATTAACATACACTGACTAAAATAAAAAATATTATACAGAGACCCAACACCACATTAAAGGAATGCAGTCATTCGTTTTCCTCCATTTCTTTCGTTTGTAATATGTTTCTTTGTGTTTGCATTTTCGCTACTTCCCTGAGTTGGAGAGTAGCTTTGTGTGCTAGGTATCCTATATGGCCCTGTGGGTTGGCCTCCCCAGTTACCTGAGGTGGACACTCTTGGTGCACCCTTTGTGGACTGCGTGTACAGCCTTGTTGTAGTTAAGTCTTGATTGTTGTTGGTATCACTGGGAGGAATTGACCTCCAGGCCAATTGGCTGTGAGGACCCACTGTGTCTACTCCGGGAGAACTTCTGTGCTGGCAGTCCTCTCTTGGCGTGCCTCTAGACCTCTGCCTTTTGCTGCTCCATTGAGTTTCCGCCTGTCAGTCCAGAATCCCCCCGCCCCTAAGCCTGGGTTCCCAGGGTCTCACCCGGAATTGGGGTTTAGTGCAGTCAGCGAACTCAGGAGCTTTTGTCTCCTTCCGCTAGAG